TGCCTATAATGATGAAAAGGTTCAATCCCATTTCAACAATAGAATGTGGATTTGTGTCTCAGATCCTTTTGATGAGATCAAAATTTCCAAAGCCATCATTGAGGGTCTGAAAAAAGAGACCCTAGCTTCAAATGAGTTGCAAACTCTCTTGCAATCAAATGAGTTGCAAACTCTCTTGCAATTTATACATGAGTCCATTGAGGGCAAGAAGTTCCTTCTTGTCCTGGATGATGTGTGGAACGAAGAGTATACAAAGTGGGAACCATTAAAGCTAGCTTTACAAAATGGGGCTGTGGGTAGTAGAATATTGGTGACCACAAGAAAGAAGGATGTTGCTATGATGATGGGAGCATCCGCTGATACGGTCAATTTGAAGGAGTTGAGTGATGAAAACTGTCGTCAATTGTTCTATCACATAGCATTGGTTGATAGGGAAATAAGTGAATATAGAACATTTGAAGTCATTGGTCAAGAAATTGTCAAAAAGTGTAAGGGCCTGCCCCTCGTTGCAAAGACATTGGGTGGTCTCATGCGCTACAAGAAAACGAGGAAAGAATGGCAAGACGTTTTGAACAGTAAGATATGGGAGTTAGAGGTGGTTGAGAAACAAGTTTTCCAACCACTATTACTAAGTTATTATGATTTGGCCCCGGCAATCAAACGTTGTCTTTTGTATTGTGTTATTTTCCCAAAAGATTATAACATTATCAAAGATAAGTTGATTGAGTTGTGGATGTCACAAAATTATCTTAATTCAGTTGGAAACAAAGAAAAAGAAGCGGTAGGCGAAATGTACTTTGATAACTTAGTAATGCGCTCTTTCTTTCAAGAATTTGAGAAAGATGAACTTGGAAATATAATGGGGTGCAAGATGCATGATGTTGTGCATGACTTTCTACAATTTCTAACTAAGAATGAATGCTTAGTTTTGGAGGCTGAGGGGGGGAATAATAAGAGAATAATGGAGTTTGATGGATATAAGAAGGTTCGTCATTTGACATTAATGTTTGCACCCGAAGGTCCATTAATTCCAAGTTCCTTGTGCAACTGCAAGAATTTACGGACTCTTGCAACTTTTGATTCAAAGATTACTAATTTTGGTCGAGAGTTAATTTCACAAGTAAAATGCCTTAGAACTTTGAATCTGAGTTCTAACTCCATAAAAGAAGTTCCAAATGAGGTTGGAGAATTGGCACATTTGAGGTATCTTGATTTGTCCTGGAATTATGGTTTGATTAAATTGCCTGACACCGTGTGTAATTTAATCAATTTGCAAACCTTGAGACTCATTAGGTGCAAGGCACTTGAAAGATTACCTGAAGGCATGGGAAAGCTAATTAACTTGCAGCATCTTTATGTTTCGAGTTGTCGTGATCTAAAGTTGCCCAAGGGGATTGCAAGGTTAACAAGTCTGCGAACGCTAGATGAAGTTTGCATCCATGGCAATGATGACGTTGATAACAACAAAGAAGCATTATTCGAGTTAAGTGATTTGAGAAACATGGACCAGCTTCGTGGGAGTTTCCGAATTCAATTTCTGAAGGATCTGAAGGACGCGAGGCAGGCCGAGAAAGCGCATTTGGTGAACAAAAATTGCCTTGTCAGTCTGACATTGGGCTTCTTCAATGATGGGCAGCCCAAATGCATCCAGGAAGAAACACTGAATGCCTTACAACCACCTCCAAATCTAGAATCCTTATTTATCTGTATATACAGTGGCACCACACTCCGGCCCCATTGGATGACGTCGTTAAACAAATTGAGAAGCCTTACCCTCTGCTATTGCCCTTTTGTTGAGTTTGTGCCTCCTTTGGGGAGATTGGAGTCCCTTGAAGTACTGGAGATAGTCTATTGGTGGAGCTTGAAAAAGGTAGGAGTTGAGTTTTTGGGAATAGATGGAACAATAGAAACGCAAACATCCTCATCACCACTTATTTTATTCCCAAGTTTGAAAAGACTTGAATTCACGGATATGTTCCAGTGGGAAGAGTGGGAAGGAATGACAGGGTGGAGTGAAGAAGAGGATTCTCATAAGACAATTACAATAATGCCCTGCCTTTCTTCCTTACAAATAAGTAATTGCCATTGGCTTGAAACACTGCCCAACTTCTTACGAAATACACCACTGAAGGAGTTGGTCATCGGCTACTCTCCAACACTTGCAAAAGGTTGCCGAAAAGGCAGAGGAGAGTGGCCCAAGATTTCTCACATCCCAAACATCAAAGTTCATAATGAATTTGTACAAAAAGACGGAGTTTACCAAATTGATTATGATGAGACGCCAAGTGCCGCTTCCACCTCTTCTTCTGGTAATGTCTATTAAGATTTCATTTTGTTAATGTCTATCTATATTATTGATTTATCATCACAAATTTTCTTCTTTGCTTTATGTTTGTTTTTTCTTTGGGAAATTCAATATGTCTTTTTGTAGTCTATTTATATTATTCTTTTTTTATTTTGCTTTATGTGGCCTCCGTTTGGTCATTCTCCTTTATGCATCTAAGGTTATAAACATGATGGTGAACAACAATAAACATGCGTCTGCACACACACACACACATCTTTAGAGATAATAAGAGGTTGCTTTGCCCCAGAGTCATCCAAAAATAGGGAATATTTTTCTCATAATTAACCTTATTTAATATTTAAGGTGTATATGTTACTTCCTCTGCAACATTCTTTACATAGCAGTATTATTTGAAAAGGTATATGCTACAGTCTCTGCAATTATCCGGTCAGGCCCATTGCTTAAAATATTATTATTTTAAGATAGAGGAATTATTTGGGAAACATACCAATCATTTTGAGTACTTATGTTACTTTTAGTTAATTTCTGGTTTTGTTAATGTGGTGTTTGCTCAAAAACCAAGCGCATCATGTCTATTTATATTATTCATTTTTTTTGCCAATATTTATATTATTCATTTATCATCACAAATTTTCTTCTTTTCTTTATGTTTGTTTTTTCTTTGGGAAAATTCCATGTCTATTTATTCAAATACCAAACTGATGATAAAAAATAAAAATAAAAACTCACATGTGGTGGGTGTAAAGTAAAGACAAATATAAAGTGGTTGGAGAATGTTTTTATTTTTTTTATATTTTGCAAATATTTTTTAAGAGGATATATATATATTTAATAGTTTGAAATTCATTGGGTTATGTAGGTATTAAAAAATTTCTCTAAAATTGTCTCGGACTATAAATCCTCTATGTGCCGACGACCCCCATTTTCAAATTCCAGGTACGTACTCTACTACTTATACGATGAATGTTCTGTAGAAATTATATCTATTCTATCTACAATTATTGAAGCTGAAGAAGGTTTTGATTTTCTTATATGTCAGCAGTTGAAGGTATTTTCTAGCATGCAAAGAGGGAAGTCTCATATGAATTCACACTTTGAAGATAATCTTGTCGGAAGTGCTGGTAGACATCATCCTTGTCCGGCATGCACTCAATTCCATGCCACCGGCCACGACACACATCGGGAATGTCAGTGGCCCAATCATTACCCGTAGCCCGCATGATGTCATAGACCGCTTCTTGCTCACGAGTGTCAGTTCGGGCCCCGTCTTTGTTCATGGAGAACCCGGTTTGTGGCCCGTCCACGAGGGCGGATGGCACGCCGGAATCCGACATGATGACCGTGAAAGGCATGACCCCTGGTGGCCTAAAACACATGAAAGATAGAAACAAGAGTAGAGGTGCGAAAATGAGTGCCATTGTGAGAAAAGAAAGACTAAGGATTAGTTTCGGGAGTGGATGAGTGAGAGGCATTGGGTTTGATTGAGAGGTGTATATATACAAGGTTGAGTTGGAGTTAATGGTATATGGGTTGGTTTGGTGAATGAGATAAATTATATTTATGGGTTCACGGGAAAAGGGAGCAAGTGTGACAAGTGGAAATAAATACATGGAATAATTTCGTTCAGCATTGTCATGAGCTCTGTTCCTCTCTTTTCCATTTCTTCTTCCAATTTCATACAGCAAATCAGTGCGATTTTTCTGTTCAATTTTTTGTGTGATTTCAGGTTCTTTTAGTGTACGGTTGTTTGAAATTCGTTGAAGGTTTTGGATTTCTTGTGGTTTTTGAATTGGAGCCGTCAACTCAAAGGGGTATGTATTTTTTGTGAGATTTGAGTTTACATTGTTTTCATGGTGGTTCTGATAGTATCTAAGTATTGCATGTATGTTTTGTTGTGGAAGCAAAGTCCTTCCTTGATACCTGAAAGTGACGAAGCAAAGTCCTTCCTTGATACCTGAAAGTGACAAAGCAAAAGTTGTGGGTGTCGGCTACCATATTTATATGTCTCTTGATTCTTAAGAAACAGGCCAAATCTAAAACACCAAAAACACAAATCCTTTTTCTTGCTCAAGACCCAAATGGAGGAGCCATGCCTAGGGTTTTCCATTCACATGAAATATAAAGTAGCTACTTTCTTATTTTTGGGACAAATATAAGTGTTACAAACTTCAAATGTACAAATATATGCCCTATTTTCTGCTACAACAAAATTAGAGCTCAACAGAAACTCAAAATTGAAATATTTGATTCTTCATGGCCTTGGTGTGTCACATGGGCCAATGCCAGAATCTTCCAACCCACTATTGGCATTGTAACAAAGCCCAAAATTGTTATGAACCCTAAGCTTCCTTCTCATCCTCCAAACCATTTCTCTCCCAAATGGGATTGGGCCCCTGAGCCAATTATCATTCAATCTCAATTCACTCACACTTTTGAGCTCTCTAAAGCTTGTTGGGATTGAGCCATTGAAATTGTTCCCATCAAGATGAAGCACGCGAAGGCCTGGCAATTTGCCTAGTGATGAAGGTATAGGACCATGCAAATTCATGTTTGATAAAATTAGGGTCATCAGCCCCTTCATGCCATCAAAACCATCACTTGGAATTGGTGTGGGCCCCATTGGATTTTCTTTGAGTATCAAAGTTTGAAGTGAGATTAAGCTCCTAATCCACATTGGAAGTGGACCCTTGAGGCGATTGTAGCTTAGATCCATGAGCATTAGGTTTTTCAGGGTACCGATGGAGTCGGGTAATGGGCCGGTGAGTTGGTTGTGGGCCAAATCCATTTTGATAAGAGCATGGCAGGCTCCAATGCTGGATGGGATTGAGCCCATTAGAAGGTTTTGGCTCAGGTCAAAAATGCTCAAAATTGGGAAGCTGAAATTGGGTATTGAATCGGTTAGTTTGTTCCCACTCAGGTCTAACGACCTTAGACCGGTCATCCGGCCCAGGGACACCGGAATTGAGCCGTTGAGATTGTTTTTGTGGAGGTCAAGAACTTTTAAACGGGTGAGATTGCCTAGCTCAATAGGAATAGGACCCACATGCCCATTTTCCCTGAGCACTAAAGTTTGTAGAGTGGCGCCCAATTGCCCCAAAAGTGATGGGATTGGCTGAGGATTGTAACTAAAACAACGGTAGAAAAATAAGGTCCGGAGGTAGGGAAGTTTAGTGATGGATGGTGAAATATGGGAACGGGTCGGGTCACAAGTCGGGAACGCGGTGTCATCGGATAGGGCCCCGAAGGAGAGCGAAACGACGTGGTAGACATCATCCTTGTCCGGCATGCACTCAATTCCATGCCACCGGCCACGACACACATCGGGAATGTCAGTGGCCCAATCATTACCCGTAGCCCGCATGATGTCATAGACCGCTTCTTGCTCACGAGAGTCAGTTCGGGCCCCGTCTTTGTTCATGGAGAACCCAGTTTGTGGCCCGTCCACGAGGGCAGATGGCACACCGGAATCCGACATGATGACCGTGAAAGGCATGACCCCTAGTGGCCTAAAACACATGAAAGATAGAAACAAGAGTAGAGGTGAGAAAATGAGTGCCATTGTGAGAAAAGAAAGACTAAGGATTAGTTTCGGGAGTGGATGAGTGAGAGGCATTGGGTTTGATTGAGAGGGGTATATATACAAGGTTGAGTTGGAGTTAATGGTATATGGGTTGGTTTGGTGAATGAGATAAATTATATTTATGGGTTCACGGGAAAAGGGAGCAAGTGTGACAAGTGGAAATAAATACATGGAATAATTTCGTTCAGCATTGATGTGCTTCACGGGATTTATACCAAAGTTTTTCGAGCTGGGGCCATTGAATCACTGGCTCAACCATGGTAACTTAAATTCTATCAAATTGTTGTTGACATGCTTCACCTTGTAACCACATGTTCTTGTAGCTCAGAATTCATAACCAAGAAATATACAAGGCATTGGCTTCTTTACTCGATCAAAAACTGACCCACTAATCCCAACCAGCTCCTATTTCTTCTCCTCCTAAGATTTCCAGCTCTTTTTTCTGCTTTCTTCTTCTTTTCAGAGATTTGGGAAGATTCAAAATGCTGCAAAAGATGCATTTGCAAGACTGAAGGACTTGCCTGTGAGCAATATATGTGGATCCAGAACTGAGGGTTGAGCTTCTTGAAGACTAGGGACGCCATTGCAGGCACTGCTTTTGTCTTATAATGGATAGAGAGTTTGCACTTTGTGCTATGAGATTTGTAATTCTTTTCCCCTTCTGTTTCTTTAGAACTTCTTTGAGCTTGGAGCCATATTGAACCTAAGGATTTATTTAGCGGACATATGCCTCATTATGACATAAAGAAGCTAAAGTTGATACAGTTAAAATGTGTTGATGGTCTTGAAATAAAGACATAAGAGCTTCAAGTATTGAAGCTTAAAGAAAGTTCCTTGAGGAACAATAAGATTCAACCAAACGTGAGTATGTTTAATTATCAAGAATGACAGAAGTCATGAAATCGGGTTACTTAGATAGAGTAGTTAATGAATTGGAATCGGATCAACTACTCCCCTCTAGTTGATCTCATTCCTAATTTTGAGGGTATTTATTACTAATTTTAAATATGGATTCCGCATAATTTTTTATTCCTTTATATGTTATTAATTAAAGGAGAAGTGAAGAGTTAATTAGAATAATTTCAATACGCATGTATTAGTAAACACAAGAAAAATAGACTTGGAACACCTGCTTGAACTCAGTTCGTCGGCTACCAAAAGAATGGTTGACTTAAAAATGTCAAAGAGAGAAGTTGTGCTGCAACCTTCAATTTCCAGGGATATGCCTTGACCCCATGTGTGTATCAAGGTCTTGTTCTTGTTTCATATTTCTAAGCTGAAATTGGACTAAGAATTCAGGTGGCCTAGAGCCCTACGTGAGCTATCCATGATGAATCCATCCAGCTATGAACCTATTAATCTCAACTCATTATCCCATTTTCAATCACGACTTGAGCTAATTTCAGAGGCTTATTTATTGTTATTTTTAACAAAGCTTTAAAATTTCCCATATGTTTTGTTAATCTTAGCCATTAAAATCCGCATCCAAAATAAAATTTCAGACTTGAAAAGAGGTTTCATTGTACTTGGATTTTCTTGAAAAGAGGCATATATGTATATTCTTTCTCGCATTCAACAATAACTCGGAACAAGATAATTAATATAGTTTGATTTTGTTGTCCTTTCGGGTTTGGGTTATTTTGCTGTTTCGTAGATGTATCAACTGTATTTTTGGAATTTATCTTATATATTTTTAGTTTTTTTTCATTGAAAGAATTGAATAGTTTTGATTTTGCAACAGAGCCCACAGAGATAGTAAACATTTGCAATCAAGTCCCTCATATACCAAGGCTGTCAATAAAGTTGCTCAAAATGCTGATTTGGCCAGGTGACTGTGACAAACATAACAAGAGCGCATACGCCAACTATGCAAGGGAATCACTATCAACATAAAATTATAGGAAAGTGATCTTTTATTATAAGAGAAGAATTATTATTATTTATTGTGGAATACGATTTAACACTAAGTTTTGACTCGTAAATAGATGAATAAATGTTTCAAAAAGATTTGGTGATTATTTTGTTGTTGCATTTTTCACTAATATTTAAATTTCTACACACGTAAATATGTGGGTTAAGTCAGTTAACTAAAATAGTGTACCCACCGTTTTGCACCCAAGTTCGATTTTCCTCCCTATACATTAGGCTAGTTTAGAATATAGCTTTGTCCTAAATTCCACATACGCAATTTACACACAACCCCTCTACTTGTAGAAAATTTGCAAATGTGCCCCGACCCGCTTCTTCTGCTGACAACATATTTTCCGTATGAAAAGAGCAAGAAAGACACAAAAATAAAATAAAAAACACAAAAATAAAAAAAGGAAACCCCACACAGGGAGCACCTATAAAACCATCCAAAACCCAAACCCGAACCCCCCAAAACCTTTCCATTCTTGGTCTCTGGTCTTCAACACACACACTCTCTCTTCTCTTCAAGTCTTGATCTGCAACTCTCACTGAAGAAGGTACGTCTACACGAACGAACACTCACGTATTTATGCCTATGTGATATATGCATGCGCGTAAGGTATTGGAGTGCCTGGTTGCATAGGTTTGGTGGTTCTGTGTATGCATGTCTCTTTTGCGTGAGATTCGTTTGGCGTGTAGGGAACTGAGAATTTGAGGAATTGAATTGGGCGAGTGAAATTTGGGGGAGAATTTGAATTTAGAACCCTAATTTTGATTGTTTTGGTGGTTATTAGTTTATCGGAGGAACGCGAACCATGACGTTGTTCGACAGGGAGGTCGTTTTTCTCATACTCCAGTTCTTAAATGAAGCGAATGAAGCGAAATACAAGGACACTGTTCACAAGTGAGTGAGTTTGTTCTTATGCTTCTTTATATTCGTTAGTTCGTACGTAGTCTTGTTTATTTTGTTCATTGGCCCTCGTCTTTGGGTTTGCTTGGTTGCCAAGAAATTTATGAAAATGGAAGGCAGGTAAGGAAGATCGTTTTTGCACCTTTTTTTTCATCAGTTTTGGAAAAATAGGGCAAATGGAACTTATATTGTTTGGTTTATACTGAGTGAGGTTCTCGTGTCTGTGTCTGAATGAAGGTTGGAAAAAGATTCAGGGTATTTCTTCAATATGAGGTATTTTGAGGATTGCGTGAACAATGGTGAATGGGATGAGGCGGACAGTTACCTGAGTGGATTTTGTAAGGTTGATGAAAGTAGATACTCAACGAAGATTTTCTTTGAGATTCGGAAACAAAAGTACTTTGAGGCCCTTGACAGGTAAGCTCTTTGTTTGATTCGGAAACAAAAATACTTTGTCGTGGCTTTGTTATAACTTTGTCTTTAATGCAGGCATGACTATGCTAGAGCTGTCGAGATTCTTCAGAAGGATTTGAAAGTTTTCTCGACAATCGACGAAGAGAGATTTAAGGAAATGACCCTGCTTCTGTCGTTGGGGAATTTTAGGTGTGTTGGGTATTTCTTTTGTGATTAATTTGGTGTGGAGTCAAAGTTATGCTCCTGTTAAATAAGTCATGACTCATGACAATGCATCTGACATGCTATTGTAAAAAAATCATGACAATGCAAAGTGTTGTGGCGTAAAATTTATGCTCTTATATGATTGATTTGGTTTGTGGCATCAAAGTCGTTATTTATGCTGTTATAGATAAAGCTTTGAGTGTGTCCTATTTGTGCCTTGATTGTGTCATCATAACATCTGCCCATGTTTTTGAAACTCCCCTTTTTTATTTTGACCAAGTAGAAAATATGGAAAATTCTTAAGAGTAAGCTATGTCGAAGGCAGGAGGAATGGAATTATTGGGTCATTGAAACTGATAGTTACAGACAAGTGAGAATCATGTACCAAATCAAGTGATACAATTTCAGGCTGTTAGTTCCACTTTCTATGAAATAATTATGCCAAATTTGGGTTACCGAAATGAAATAGTTGGCAGTAGGGGTTTCATGACTTTAGTTGTGAATGCAAGTAACTCAAATCTTAAATTGTCTGTTTTATCTAAATACGCTATAAGTGGCTAATTCTCAAGTGCTAGGCTCCATAGAGCAGAATTATAGAAATACCACCTGAGCTCTAGGAAGAGAAGAAACTAAAATGAATCGAGGACATCATAAATATTTAGCATGAAGTAATGCTCTGCCTTTAATACACTTCTTTAGGTCCGGAAAACAGACACCAAGACAGACACCCAACTCAGTTGTCTTGGTGTCTATTTGGTGCATGTTGTGACTGCTTATATTTGTGCATTTCCTTTGGATTCAAAACCGAAATGACCAATTCTACATTTCTATTGTAGCTTGTTACCTAAAGATAGATAATGATTGAAGTGAGACGTATTGGTTTATATGTTAAAATCTTTGAAGGCGAAAACAATTCTTCCAATAGACAAAGAGTTGTTGACCTAAAATGATGAATTTATGAGAGTGTAAGTCATTTTTTCTTCCTTCATTGTTATATAACACTGCCTTTATCTTGCTTGGATGTCGAAGGCAACCAGTGTGTACTTTGAAGTGTGCTTGCTCCAAAGGTTCTGTTTTGTGCTTGTTTGCTTAGTTCTTTGGCCAATATGTTTATTTTATATTTTGTTGAAGTTGAAGTTTCTCAGTCACCTGCATTTTATTTTCTTTTCATTTTTTTTTAAAAAAAACCAGGGAGAATGAGGAACTATCAGATTATGGTGATATTAAGTCTGCCAGGGCTGTTATACTTACTGAAGTAAAAAAGATAATTGAGGCAAGTCCACTTTTCCGTGATAAGCTGCAATTCCCCAAGTTAAAGAACTCAAGGCTGAGTACACTGATCAATCAGGGGTAATTCGAACAAAAGTTATCTACATAATCTTTGCTCTTTCTTTTTTCAATTAAAAATTATGGGGATGTGAAAGTTTTTTGTTATCTGAAGTCATTGTCTGTAATGTTTGTTGCAGTTTAAATTGGCAGCATCACCTTTGCAATAATCCTAGGCCAAACCCTGACTTTAAAACTCTATTTTCGGACCATAGTTGTGGTTGTGGACAAATTGCTTGTGCTCCTTCCCCTGCAATTAACCCTATAATGGGATCCATTGCTAAAGTAGGTGGTTTCCCCAGTTCAAGAAAAAAAAAAGTAGGTGGCTTCCCACCAATACGTGCTGATGGTGTCTGTAAACAAAATTTACATTTGGTGTATAAGGTAGTAGTTTTCTGAGGAACTCCTATTTGTATGTTTGTTTAATATATGTGATTTTCAGCCATTTCAGCCTGCACGCACACCTCTTACAACATCTCTCTCTGGATGGACAGCTAACCCGTCCTCTGTTCCGCACCAAACAGTTTCTGCCGGACCAAGAGGTCTAACAGTTCCTAATAATGCATGTATGATTGCTTTTGATTTTGTTTATTCAATTTATTTTTAGCATTTTCTCTGTGTTTGTGGCTTTATTACTGATTGTGCTATATTACTAGGAAATCTTACAAATTTATGGATATAACTTATAGGGTAAATAACCAGTTTTGCTAGTGGTAAATAAGATGAATTTTTTTTTTCAGGTCATTACAGGGTGCGATTTTAAATGAATAAAATGTATATAAATTACAGTATACCTCTAGATAAGCAATATTAGTTTTGACTTTGAACGTGATTAAAATTTTTGTTGCAGACATTGTGAAGGAATAATTGGTATAAGTTGCAGTTCATTTGATATTTACATTATATTTCTGTTAGAATAAGTCATAATGCAATAAGGCACGACTTTGCAAATGTCAAACATACACAATGTTGTCTTAAATTAGTAAATTGAAACCAATAATGATTTGGCAATACGAGATGGAGTTGCTTTAATATCATGATCCCTATAAATTCAAGCTTTGCTTAGTGATAGAAATATGAAGAACCCATTATTGTTGACTCTATGGGCTCTTGAATTTAATGTTGCAATGCTGTCTGTTAAATGCTTAACATGCCAGTTTGTAAAATCCATAAAAGTCAGGGGAAAACTGGAAAAACTCAAAACTCTTTATAGAATTGAAATTGGTTGTGGTGTTTCTAGGCCCGAACTAGATCACGAGGATGGCTGAATATGTTATGAAGTAAGAGGTTGATGTGGAGAGGTTTTACCAACAAGCAATCTTTTAAATGCAATTCATGGGTGTTCTGATATTGACTGGGTTAAGAGTGAAACTGATCGGTGGCCCATGTCTGGCTTAGCTTTGTTGGTAACATTCGGTGACCTTGAATTGTACCTAGGTTTAGTTGAGAATTTTGGTATTGAGATAGTTTGTACAGTCTACCATTGCCCCTTGCATTGTATTTTTTCTATCAGTTGAATTTCTTCTTGGTTGTTGAATTTATTTAAGGGGATTGTATGACACTTCTTGATGTGCCTTTGCCTGTGTTTTATTTATATGTTAGACTTGTTAGTGAATAGGGTCTTCCCTGATCACAGTCATCAGATACTTGCCAATCCCTCTTCTTTTGCTTGAACGATTTTGTTCCCACAATCACATTATATGGTTCCCCTGGAATGATTTTTTAATATTATTTTCATTCAAATTTCACTTTTCCAACTAAGTTATATTTTCCTTTTTGCATTTATTTGGTATGGTAGCATCTTTGCTAAAGCACCCTAGGACTCCTCCCACTAATAACCCAAGAATGGACTATCAAATTGCAGATTCTAAACATGTGTCCAAGAAGAGATCAAGACCTTTGGGGACCCCAGCTAAGGTATCTTTATCAAAATGTTTATATACTGCTGTTTTCAAAATTTATATATGGTCACTCACTCTTTTTCAATCAGTATTTAACTGATTATGTTTCCTTTTGGCAATACCTTTTGTAGTTTACTTTTTTTTAGTGAGAATATCAATATTTCACTTTTGTTTTTTGTTTTTTACTTTTTACTTTTCTCAATATTTCTTATTGAAATAAGATATTGAAACTAGCTTGATTGTAAGTGTGCTTTTTTTATGTGCAATATGGTGAGTGAAATTGTTGCATGTCCTTGGTTGCTTAACTGTTTGAATTTATCTTTCTCGCACCGTGACTTCCCTTTTGCATTTTCGGGCCAATAATATGTCTGTTAATGTCTTTCCACACACATATCCTGGCCAGAGCCATGCCGATACCCGTCACTCTTCTGAGGACTTGCCCAAGACTGTTATTGTCAGTTTGAGTCAAGGTTCAGCTGTCAAGAGCATGGACTTTCATCCAGTGCAACAGACTCTGCTTCTCGGTTTGCTCATGCTGCTTAATGAATCTTTTGTCTTTGATCTTATGTTTTCAGTCAATGTCTAATTGTATGGTTTCTGGATTGAAGTTTTATTCATTTGTTTTTCTTGCAAATTCAGTTGGAACAAATATTGGCAACATAACAATTTGGGAGGTAGGCAGCAGAGAGAGGCTTGTTTCTCGGAATTTCGAGATTTGGGACTTTGATGCATGTTCAATGGCTCTGCAGGTTTAATTCCCTTGGTTTTTTTGTTGTTTTCCCACCCTCTATCTTTTCCCACCCATAAGACTAATAGTTTTCATGTCTTCTGATAGGCATCTGTGGCCTTTGAATACACTGCATCAATCAATCGTGTTATCTGGAGTCCTGATGGTTCCCATATTGGTATATAAGGGGATTTACTTCCTCTTATTCATTTTATTCCATACTGATAGAATACTTGTATATATATTCTAGACAAGAGAAAAAATACATTACAATTTCTGGTCATGGGTAAAATTTTCTTAATGAAGTGGGGGAAAATGGTTGAAGTTCACAGATCATGTTATTATGATTAGTTTTTGTTATTAAGCCAACTTCTCTTTCAGGTATTGGATATTCCAAGAGTGTAGTGCACATATATTCCTATCATGGTGCTGATGATTTACGGAACCAACTAGAGGTTGTTTTTCTCTTTTTATTTTTTTGATTTCATTTAAGTGGCTTATGAATTCTAAAATAGTGATCACTAGTAGGTTTCTTGGCCTTCTGCAGCTATCAGTTAATTAATTAAATTTTGTTTTTAAGACTGTAATTACTTATATGCTGATTGGACTTTTTATATATATATTTTTTCAAATGAAATTCTTCCAGATTGATGCTCATGTTGGTGAAGTTAATGATCTTGCCTTTACTCACCTAAACAAACAATTATGCATCATAAGTTGTGGAGAGGACAAGACCATCAAGGTTTGTTTTGTATGGCATTTTCCTTCAATGCTATTGGCAAGACTATGGCCTGCAATCATCAAGGTTCATCTCTATGCAGGTCTGGGATGCTATCACTGGCAATAAGCTGTATAGTTTTGAAGGTCATGAAGCATCAGTTTATTCTGTGTGCGCACAGATGAAGGAAAACACTCAGGTGCTTAGTTTGGTTATTACCATTGGTTTTACTCTTGACAGTTATTGCTTTCCTTGAAGTATTTGATTTGAGTTTTGTTTTATGGTTAGAGGCATCAAAAGCTTACTTCTAAGTTCTAATGGCAAGTCTTGTTTTGGTCAAGGGTATTCCTGTTAACCTTAGTTATTGCTGAGGTGAACTTGTGTGTATAATGAAATTTGTAAAGGAAAGGAAATCATTTTTGTGGTTTCCACAAACCCCGTCCTCTATTTTTTTTTTCCTTGTATAAAATGTCTTTTAATGCACATTGGCATATCAAGAAAGAGATACATACAGCTCCCTGATGTTTATTTACAGTTCTTACCTACTTTACCCTTAAGATGTGATTGTGGAAAAGCTTTTTATAATGTCTCTATGATCCCTGCAAGTATAGCAAATCTTCTAAGAAATCAGTTTTCTTTGTTCCTTTGGCTACCATGGAATCTCAGTCCATTTCACCAGCTCGAAAATTGTACATGGATTATTGTACCAATTTAGCATTTCTTCCATGCTGTTTTGAACTGTTTGGAAACAGTTCTTTAAACCTAACTGTTGTTTTTTATCCTTAGACATCTTTCTCTCATTTGGTTCTTGTTTTTGTTTTTTGATGTAATACCCAGTGGATGTTTTCTTTCTGTATCAGTTCATCTTCTCTACAGCCGTTGATGGGAAAATCAAGGCATGGCTCTATGATAACTTAGGTTCAAGAGTTGATTATCATGCTCCAGGCCATTCTTTCACAAGAATTGTCTATAGTACTGATGGAACGAGGTACTGTATTGTCTTTGTTATTCCATCAAGTGTTCTAATTTTCATATCATATAACTTCTTCAATGTGAGTTCTTGATTGCTTAAGTATTCCTATTATTGTGAAAATCATAGGTTATTCTCATGTGGGACTAATAAAGAAGGAGAATCATACATTGTGGAATGGGATGAAACCCAGGGGGCTGTAAAGCGAACATATAATGGGCTTGGGAAGCGAACTCTGGGGGTCGTGCAGTTTGATACGATCAAGAACCGATTCTTGGCTGCTGGTGATGAGTTTCAAATTAAATTTTGGGACATGGACAATGTGAACCTGTTGAATGCCACTAATGCGGAGGGTGGATTACCGGTAATGGCCACAGAGGGCTATCTTCATGATGTTCACTGTCATATTTTAAGGTTATTGTTAACTTTAAACTACATTTACCTTTGATATCTGTTAGGCGTCTCCTTGTTTGCGATTTAACAAGGAAGGAATTATGTTGGCTGTTTCAACAAATGAGAATGGTATTAAAGTACTTGCAAATGCCGATGGTGTTCGACTTTTGCGGTCAATTGAGAATCGTGCAGTTGATGCCTCCGGGATGGCTTCTGGAAATGCTGTGAAGGTATATTGTTCTATCAGATATATGAAGTGACCAAAAATTTAGATTTATAAAGTGACCCAAAATGTTGACACTCTTGTTAAATGAATTACTTATGCTGCAGAGACCCATAATTGGCACATTTGGTGCTTCCAGTTCTGTTCATGGAACAAACAATGGGGTTGCAGATAGAAGTCAAATGTCTACAGTAGTTGGTCTGGTAAGTTTTGATTGTTCTTTCATAAGTGTTACTAGAATATATTGTTAAGATGGAAGAAAACACTTTGTGTATCCTTTAGGAAAATCTGCATAATCTATTTTCTAAGTTGTTCACGCACGACATTCTTCATAAACTTTGATGTTGTGTGCATGCTTTAAATTCTTATTTGAGCTACGCTTCCTTTTGGGAGGTTCACAAATGCTGACTTAAAATTTTTAGAATGGAGATGCTCGAAGTTTGGACAAGAATTCAAGGGTTGCTGAAGAGTTACAGAAACCTAAAACTTGGAAGCTAACTGAAGTTAATGAACCATCTCTTCTTCGTTCCATACGGCTTCCCGATGCTTTGAACCTGGTGAATTTTGGACCCATATATTTACTTTTATATCCCTGTAAATTCTATTTGGGTTGTAATACATATAAATCATCTCTGTATGTGACGTGGGTTGATAAGTTTTTGTCATAAGAAATGCTTCAGTCCCTTAGCAGGTTTTAACCTCGGCCTAGGCACTGAGGGTTCTTTGAGTTTTGGGAGAATGATGTAGGGAATGTAATACATGTAATTTTTCAGGCTAAGTTCAAGTTTAGAAATGTTCAAGGAGATAGAGTTTTGCAATACTTGTTTCTTGGATTATTTTGTACACTGACGTTGTACTTGTTTTATTATTTTTATTATTTTTGAATCCATCTTTAAATATTTTTGTTCTCCAATTCAGATTGTTAGGTTGATATATGCAAACTCAGGAGGGTCTATATTGGCATTGACACATACTGGGGTACACCGACTTTGGAAATGGCAGAAGAATGAGCAGAATGTTTTGGGAAAAGTATGGTTTGTTCTTAAGGCAAATCTTCCTTGAGTTATTTTGTCCTTTTAAATTTTCTCATTCTTCTCCTGTATAAATGCTTTTGGTACTGTAGGCAACTACCACTGTGCCACCTCTGTTATGGCAACCTCGCAGTGGTATATTGATGATGACCAATGATATAATCGATAGAAATCTTGAAGATTCGGTTCCTTCTTGCCTTGCTCTTTCCAATAATGATTCTTATGCTGTGTCAGCATCAGGAGGGAAAATTTCTCTTTTTAATACGGTGACATTCAAGGTAATGTTATATTAGGAATGTACCTTGGGCACAATTGGTTGGATACATAATCCTTTGGCAGATGATTTTTCATCATTTTTTCCTTCTACCAAAATTGCAGACGTTGGCAACCTTTATGCCTCCCCCACCTGTAGCAACATTTGTTGCTTTCCATCCTGTGGACAATAACATTATTGCCGTTGGCATGGAGGATTCTACAATTCACTTGTTCCATGTCCCAATTGACACTGTAGGTAGCACAAACTGTGACTTTTTTTAATTAGTAGATTTTCAAATTATAGATAGTGATTTTGTTTCTCTTTTTTGCTCAGGTCAAGTACAAGATCAAGGGTCATCAGAAGAGAGTAACTGGCCTGGCCTTCTCCACTGTTCTGAATGTTCTTGTATCATCAGGAGCTGATTCTCAGGTATGCTTCATAAAAGTAGGATATGATCTATGTGCCATGCTGCTCTGTGTGTGTGTGGGTAGTGATGTACTGGAATTTTGAAAGTTATAGATACCAAGTGCTCATTTTTTATAGACATTTATGCATAAGTTTCAGTGGAGAGCTCTTTAGACTTTGCATACCTGCCTTTTGTGTATATGTAAGACAAATATGTAATGGATAGGACTGCTGCTAGTATCTTTACCACATGAAATGAGCAAGCGCTATAAACTAAATATGTTTTCAATATGCAATCAGTTGTTTTCTATAGAACTATTGAAGATATTGTGATCACCATACCGGATTTCCTGTTTGTCTAGATTTAGTAGTAGATTGAGCCAGGATTGCTTTTATTGTTAAAAGATGACATACTACATGACGTTGTAAATAGGGCGCAGAACTCGTGAAGCAACTTTTCTAATATATCAATGTTATTAAATTATGCCATGTGGCTTTAGATTATACGACCTCACATTCATCTTTATGTTCAATATTGTTGTTGGTAAGCTGTGCTGCAAGTTCTATTTCTGTTGTACATAATTTCACCTATAGGTGGAGTCACATGATGTATGAATTGCTGATAAAGTTTTCTTTTTTTCAGCTGTGTGTGTGGAGTCTGGATGGATGGGCAAAGCAGGCTGGTACGTTCTTGCAGATTCCCACTGGTCGCGTGCTTACACCTCTTGCTCAGACCCGAGTTCAATTTCACCAAGATCTGATACATCTGCTGGCGGTACATGAAACTCAAATAGCCATATATGAAGCATCAAAGTTGGAGTGCCTTAAGAAGGTCTCTGGGGCCTTCTTTTCCTTTTGAATTCTTAGTTGATGGTCTTTAATTTCAGTTATTAAATATTTCTAATGTTCAGGTACTTGTGAAACTTCGTATTTTATACTTAATGTAACTGTCTTGTAAACCTATTGAACCATTTCATGAGTTTTCAGGTTTTGTATTCTAATGTTTGAAGAATAGCTAGAGCTTGATTTCTAGTAGTTTATGAGGTGATTAATATGTTTTTTTGTTGTTGGCTGTGACAGTGGGTGCCACGACAATCTCTTGGTCCTATCACAGATGCTACATATTCCTGTGATAGCCAGTCAATCTATGCGAGCTTTGAGGATGCAAGTGTATTTGTTCTAACTGCCTCCACACTACGAATCAGATGTCGGATAAGCTCTGCTGCATATATACCGTCCAATCCCAGGTATGCCTTATGGTTACCGATGCTTTTAAACAGGCCCGCGCAAACACTATTTTCTTCACCAGCTTATTACTAATTATTCTATTATATGACAGCGTGAGGGTGTACCCTGCTGTAGTTGCGGCTCATCCATCTGAGCCCAATCAGTTTGCAGTTGGACTCACTGATGGGGGAGTCGTTGTTATGGAGCCACCAGAATCAGAGGAGATGTGGGGTACTATGCCTCCAGTTGAGAATGCAGGGCCTAGTGCTGGCGCAGCAGCTGGTTTGGATCAACAGCAAAGGTGATAGTGATCTTGAGGCATTCAACTGATGACTGATTTTGATCCACAATTTAATTCAAGAGGAGCTACAAGTTTTTAGGTCGCACAGAGTGTAGGGTTTAGACTTTTGGTGAATAGGTCTTAGCTAGGGTTACATGACCGCTGATCATATTTTGGGGAATTCCCTTCATATACATAAAAAAAAGAGAAGGTACATAGATGTTCATATCATCATACAAGAGACATTAGGAGAAGAGCAGCTGTTGTTACTACACACTAATGAATTTGGCTATTACAGGTCTTTGCTACCAATTGTACAGTGAAAAAGTTCTGGCCTTTTGTTTTTCTCCTTCTTTTTAGTTTTTGCATTTCAATGTTTGTTTGTCTTCATATTTAACTGGTTAGCTAAGGGCCCGTTTGATAAGTTGGTAAGATGTTCATATCATCATACAAGAGACATTAGGAGAAGAGCAGCTGTTGTTACTACACACTAATGAATTTGGCTATTACAGGGCTTTGCTACCAATTGTACAGTGAAAAAGTTCTGGCCTTTTGTTTTTCTCCTTTTTTTAGTTTTTGCATTTCAATGTTTGTTTGTCTTCATATTTAACTGGTTAGCTAAGGGCCCGTTTGATAAGTTGGTAACCATTTCATTTTTAGTTTTTAGTTTTTCCTTTTTTGTGCTAGAGTATAGAGGAAAAAGGGGGAGAATGGAAGTGGGAATGAGAGTGGAGATGAGATTGAGATGGAAGATGAGAGGGGAAGATGGGAGGGAGGAGTAACAAAAGTGAAAACTAAAACTGAAATCTATTTGAAATTGTTTTCACTTTTGTTACTCCTCCCCTCTCATCTTCCATCTCAATCCCATCTCCACTCCCATTCCCACTTCCATTCTCCCTCTTTTTTCTCTATACTCTAGCACAAAAAATGAAACTAAAAACTAGAAACTAAAATTGAAATGGTTATCAAACGGGCCCTAAGAATAAAATTTTCTTCAATAAAATATTAATCTGAGAAAAATAATAACTAATTACGTACTAAGTGGCTTTCATCCATGAATGGAATTTGTATGACAACTCTGAAGTCATATGCTAAATATGTGGCTCCTGAATATAACCAAAAATCTCTTTTTCTTTCCTCACATAGCAATTTATGCTGTGACATTATTAATTTAAACCATTGATCAAGATATGATAATTTTCTCTGTGACTATTAGGGAAGAAAAAATGTTCACATATTACAATTTACATATGGGGTGCTGCGATTTGTGCGGTTGCACTAATTTACTGATCACAATGTAATCAATATTTATAAATGTAGTACAAAATTACAATGTAATCAATAAATATAATACCAATAGCATTATTGATTAAAAATGACTTCTCTCGGAATGGTTAGGTAAGAAGATGTCGGTGCCGGTGTCTTCGATCATAGGGCAATGCCTTGAGGGTTTAAGCTTGTGGACTCTAAACCCCAACACAAGGTGGACTAATTTCTTTCTAAGCTCTAATAATGTAATTAGTATGATATATGATCGATATAGGTAGGAGCTCATTAGATTAATAAAATAATTATATTGTATTAATTAAATGGACTTATTTTAATGTTTAATTGTTTTAAGTCCCAACTTCAGCATCCTAGACTGTATGGAAGTGTTTAGCAAAGGAATACACCGTGCTTTGGTACCCGTAGACAGCCACATGGACAACGTCTCTGGAGTTGAAGATATGATAATTTTCTCTGTGACTATTAGGGAAGAAAAAATGTTCACATATTACAATTTACATATGGGGTGCTGCGATTTGTACGGTTGCACCACATTTATTGATCACATTGGTGATCACCTCTCTAATACATGTGAGTCTCACATACTAATGAAACTCAGAGCAGTCAATAAATATAGTACAAAATTACAATGTAATCAATAAATATAATACCAATAGTATTATTGATTAAAAATGCCTTCTCTCGGTATGGTTAACAATGTAAACTATCTTTAATTAAAAAAATTATTGGATCTTCAATGGAGGATGTTTAGGGAGGCAAAGTGCACTCCCTGAGCAGCAGTAGCTAGTTTCCAAGGAATTGCTGACAAAGAGGCCCTCTGTTTGAATTGTTGTCTTTCACTTTCACTTGATGTTCCTGATCATCACACGTTATGCCAACAAGCCCTATCCATTCTCATAACGTGGCTACACAAACACAGCCATGCAACAGCGGCAGCTCCTGCTTTTGACACGTAGCATCAACTCCAAAGCACCCTCTTTCGTATAAATACCAATAAAACCACCTTCCTCTCTTCCACTTTCCTCAGTATCCTCTCCAAATTCAACACTAAAAAGAAAGATTAAATATGCAGCAAACAATGGAGCACAGCACCGCCAAGCACTACTCTGAGGCTGATCAGAGTACTCAACGGCTAAGAGACAAGAAAGTAGGGGACTTGATGGTGAACAAGCGCAGGCTTGTGGAGGTGCCGTACACGGCGTCCCTGGCCCACACCATGAACACCTTGGTGGCGAACAAGGTGCTGGCGGTGCCCGTGGCGGCACCTCCGGGCCAGTGGATTGGAGCCGGGGGCTCCATGATCATGGAAGCTGACAAGCACACGGGGACTGTGCGGAAGCACTACATAGGGTTGGCCACCATGCTTGATCTATTGGCTCATATTGCTGGGACTGAAGATCAGTTGATGGATGAAGGAGTTCATGATGGATTTGATCTTGATCAGAAGATGTCGGTGCCGGTGTCTTCGATCATAGGGCAATGCCTTGAGGGTTTAAGCTTGTGGACTCTAAATCCCAACACAAGGTGGACTAATTTCTTTCTAAGCTCTAATAATGTAATTAGTATGACATATGATCGAAATAGGTAGGATCTCATTAGATTAATACAATAATTATATTGTATTAATTAAATGGACTTATTTTAATGTTTACTTGTTTTAAGTCCCAACTTCAGCATCCTAGACTGTATGGAAGTGTTTAGCAAAGGAATACACCGTGCTTTGGTGCCCGTAGACAGCCACATGGACAACGTCTCTGGAGTTGAACTTGTAGAGTCTGCTTCCAGCTACCGAATGCTCACCCAGATGGATGTGTTGAGGTTTGTGAAGGAACATGGCAGCTCCGGATCAGAACTCGACAACATCATGTCGAGCACGGTATCGGATTTGGGAGCTGTCACGGCGAGAGTTTTTGCCATTACCGACCGCACAAAGGTCATTGATGCCATCAAGTGCATGCGGATAGCTTTGCTAAACGCGGTTGCGATTGTAAGGTCCTCGGATACGGACAATGAAGAAGATCACAAGCAGCTTGTAAATGTATGTCTCTTTGAGCCTAAAAAAAAACCTTCTCTCGGTATGGAATTGGGATATTATAAGTTCATATCCCAAATGCGTAATGCTATACGCACCAAAATTCGCCTAATTTTTATTTACAACTGATGTGACAGTGTCTTCTTCTAAGTAAGGTCCTCGGATACGGACAAGGAAGAAGATCACAAGCAGCTTGTAAATGTATGTCTCTTTGAGCCTAAAAAAAAACCTTCTCTCGGTATGGAATTGGGATATTATAAGTTCATATCCCAAATGCGTAATGCTATACGCACCAAAATTCGCCTAATTTTTATTTACAACTGATGTGACAGTGTCTTCTTCGAAAATTATTGACTAGAAAATAAGATACTATTGATCCCAAAAATGTAGTTTGTTTTTAACATTTGTGACCCCTTTGACTGCAGGGCAGAGGAAGGCAAGCTATAGGGACATTTTCAGCAACAGATTTGAGGGGCTGCCACATCGCGACGCTGCAAACATGGTTGCCGATGAGTGCTCTGGATTACACCGAGACGGTTTTGGCAAACCCTCTATTGGCAGCATTGAATAATGCAGCAGGAAGTCCAACAACAAGGGAGCTGGTGGCATGCCGAGCTGATTCATCCTTAGGTGAAGTGATTGACAAGGTGGTCTCCAAACATGTGCACCGACTTTGGGTTGTGGATCAACAAGGTTTGCTCAAGGGGCTCATTTCCCTCACAGACATAATTAGAGTGCTGAGGCTTGCAATAGTGTCTGAACAAAACGCCTAATAACCATCTGAGAGGGAGGGGTTAAATTTTGTGTAATATTTTCGAGTTTTTGTATAAATGTTGTGTTTCTTTCGCATGGATGCTACTTGCTATTGCTATATAATATATACACACTATCAGATCAGAGGTTTTTTTCTTGTTGCACATACCCGACGGGTCACAGGTACGGGTTCACAGGTATCCGTCGTCCGTACCAAAGGAAAGTTGAAAAGAAAAGAGAAGCAAGGCAGAAAGTGGCAGTTGAGCAAGCATCCAGTCCACAGCCTCACCAGGAAAGTGAGAGAAAGCTACTAAATCAACAAATTTATTGAATGGTTAACTTGAATCATATAAAAATTCAACTCAATAAAAAACTTTACCTGTCGGTTGCGATTGTAAGGTCCTCGGATACGGACAATGAGGAAGATCACAAGCAGCTTGTAAATGTATGTCTCTTTGAAACCTTCTTCCGGTATGGAATTGGGATATGAACTATCATATATTATAAGTTATCCCAAATGAGTAATGTCATACGCACCAAAATTCGCCTAATTTTTATTTACAACTGATGTGACAGTGTCTTCTTCTAAAATTATTGACTAGAAAATATTAAGGATAATTGCTATATTTATAGAATTTCGAAAATAAAACTTCACTATAAATTCAAAATAAATACAAGAATATAACGACAATGAAAAATTAAGAATACTTTACAGATGATCGAGTCTATAACTTGGTTCTATCTCCTTAAGACGAAATTGCTTCCTCACATGTGCTTTTAGGATTTGCTTGGCAAATGTCTCCCAGGATACAACGATCGACTTCTTGTTGAAGTAGCACTACGTACAATCCCTAAGAAAAGAGAACTCAAACTTGTGTATGAATTCTCTCTTACTAACTCATTATATTTCTGAAGATGTAATGCTATGAATGCTCTAAAAAAGACTATTGTTGGATGACAATTGGATGAATGAAATGTTGTAGGACCTTCTCTATTTATAGGCACAAGATCTATGTTCAGAAAAGATGTGACTGAAAAATATCAACAAATGTGTCTTTTCATGTTGAATCCATAAGCCAAGAAGTGCAATGTTTCAATTACTATGAAACAATGCAACTTAAGCCAAGAAGTGCAATGTTTCAATTTCTATGAAACAATGCAACTTTTCACATATGAAACAATGCAGTTTTTCACATAAAGTATTATTATTTTATTCACAAACAAAATAAATAATATTTTA